ATAAAATTTATCAAAATCAATTCTCTATTATAAATCAAAAAATTGATCAAATAGTCAATAAAATAGAACCAAGAAAATGCCATTTCAAAAATAAAATAAACCAACTTACTGATGATAAAAAATATTCACAGGAAATCAAAAATCTATGGAAAGTTTTCAAAGAATTATTTAACAAAAAGACTGGGTTGAATACCAATTTTTCATTTAATGAAATGGCTATTGAAATTCGTGAATTACTTGAAGAGGGAAAGGAAATTGCTGCTTCTACAATAAAAAACTTCTACCAACAAAAAACCAATCCCAGAAAGAAAACAATAGAAGCAATTCAGCAATGGGTTGAAAAGGAAAAGAAGGAAGAGATGGAGAATGAAGTCAAAGAAGATAATAAAAACAATGAGGATATAAATATTAGTAATAATATTATTATTGATAATAATAAAAAGAATAGCAATAGTAGTAGTGAAAGTTAGATTTTTGTCAAAGTGCCCAAAGAATAGGTAATACTTATAAATGGCTTTGGGTCCAAGTATTTCCTCCCATGCAAGTACTCTGACACAATTTTTTTAACTTATATTTCTATAAATTATTTATGTATTGTTCTATTATTAGTTGAATAAAAATAATTTCTTTTTTATTGTTTAATCCATTATCCGTAAAAAAAAAATTTATTAATTCCAAGTCATGTGTCCACCAATTTATCATTGGTCTAAATCATGCATATATAGAAACAATTAATTGCAACAATTACGATCTAAATCAAAAAAAAAAAATTTTTTTTAAAAAAATTAATTTTTAAATTTTTTAAATTTTAAAAAATGACAACGATCGAAAAAATTGAAAGAGAATTAAAGAAAGCAGAAGAGAGATTCGAGAAGGCGGAGAAGAATTTGGAAGAGTGGAAAAAGAAGAAATTGGAGAAGTTAGATGAGCTGGAGGAGAAGTTGGACAATAAAGAATGGGGAAATGATGTAGAACAAAAGAAGAGGTGGGAAGATAGGATAGCTGATTTAAAGGAAGAAAAGGAGAAATTAGAAAAAAATATGAACAATTGGAAGAGGCAGGTTGAGGAATGGGGAAAGGCATTAAGAGAATTCGGTGGAGGGGAAGGTAATTAACAAATTGTGTAAAAAAATATAAAAAAATTATTTTTCATTCATTACATTTCGTTTTATTTATTTGTTTGATATACCATTTACAACTTTAACTAACTTGTGGTTTTTTCCTCCAATACTTTGATTTAAAATTTTTTTTTTGGATTCACATCTATTAATCTTATTCATTTCGGAATTACACTTCATTCTTTTCATTGTCTAGTTGGTGGAGGTAGGATCTTTTATTGTTTTCATGGCTTGCTTATAATATTCATCAATTTATTTAACATTAGCAATTATCATCTCTTTTGTCCATTTTGTTTTTTGTCACTTATCAGGTGAACTACCTAATGATCTAAAATATTTAGAACCTGAACCATTACTAAAAACTGAAGGATTGTCATGGCAATTTCAAAAATCTGATGAATTGATGAGCACATTTAAAGATGCATTATTAAATCATTATGAAAATTTTATATCAGGAAGAATCGATAAAACATTAATACCAATTTATCTAATTTTAGCTGGTTCAGGCACAGGTAAATCCAGAATAGCAACAGAACTACCACAACTTGCAAAAGATTGTGCTGTCAATCATTCAGAATTACAAGAACGATTGAAAAGTGCATTAGTTTTTAATATTTCTTTTGAGAATGGCACAGCATTAGATACAAATAATGAAAGAGATCCTGATATAGCAATAGGAAGTAGGATGTTATTTCAACTTTTACCTAATTGGCATAATAATTGGAGTAAATTTAAAAAAATATACAAAATCACACCAGTTGAAATATTAGAAAAAGTTGCAGAGAATCTTGATAAAAAACTTGAGGATTTAGCAATATTTATTACCATAGATGGCATGCAAGCAGCTGAGACAAGAGATGGTGATGGGTTAAATAAAACATCCCTATTATATTCTTATCTTACTACAATTTCAAATCTAGCACGATCAAAACTTTTTATCATTGGCACTTGTACAGCAACCACTCATCGTCCTATTGAACAATATCTAGCTAGTTCTACTCAAAAACGAGTTTTCCTTCCTATTGTTTCTTTGTCACCTCCAACATATTTAATCAATAAGATACCTCAAAAAGTTTTTCCAGATCATCCTATTATTAATATGCTTGTTGATGACATGGGTGGACATGGACGTGCTTTAGAAGTATTACAAAATTCACTACATAACAGAGACATTGACAATTGTAATTTTTCAGATTTGGTGAATAATATATGTACACAGCTAGAGGATCGTTACAATTACTGGTTAACTAAAGCAAATGAATTTAAGCCTCTCCTTCGTGTTATTTTAGCACATCAGATAATAGAATTGGATCATCCCATTCCTGGTACAGTTTTTTTTCCAGAAGATTATACCCGTTTGGGTTTAGTTAAATTTGAGGGATTGGTAGATGGTAAAAGTCGTAGAGGATATTTGACTTGCCCTTATATTTGGCTTTGGATGATAGCTCACTTCACAAATGATCCTATTTTAAAAGATTGGGACTTCAATTACATTCAAGAAACACAGCATATGGAAAATACCTCACTTCCTCCAGGATTACAATATTGGCAACACTTTGAACATTTTGTTGCACATATTCGAGTTCTCAAGTCTCACATATTTGATAACAATGAATGGATTTCATTAGGAAAACTTTATAATGGTGCAAGACATTCATTTGGTGATACTGGGATTCACAATCAACATTTACAGTTGGAAATGGCAAAGGAATGGATGTCAACACAATCAAGCCAGTGGCAAAATGTACAGTGTGAGAATAACATAATTGAAATCAATGACTATTACAAATATTGTATAATAAATGCACCTAATGCACCAGCTGGTGATTTTGTTTGTGGGATACGTACCAATAAAGATAAAACAGATAAGTATGTGAGTGAGGTTCATCAATGTAAGTTGTTGAAGGAAGGTTCAGTTAACCAGAAAAACTATATGGAAGAGCATGAAAAGGCAGCAGTTGATGATGATGTATTTATATTGTACACTTGTGGAGAATCTAAGGTTGATCTTCCAAAGTTATCAGCCATAGTTGATAAAGACTGCTGGAATGCTTATTTTGGGGTTTTTTCTGGACGAACATTTATGTATGCAAGAATGGATCCTCCAAATTTAAATACTGCTACCACCACTCAACTTACTGGTATGAAAGGAATAGGAAATGAGTATTCTCGAAGAATATTAGGCAAACGCCCATTTAGAGATTTAGATGACTGTGAATCTAGAACAAAAATCCCCCGGACATTACTTGAACAGTTTCAGTTAAAGTAAAAGAATTCTTTTATAAGTAATTTACCTTTTTGATTATTTTTAAGAAATTGAAATATATAATCAAGATTTTATCAATGCTTAATTCATATAGTAAAAAATTAAACAATTAAATGTTTGTTTTTTAATTTTAATATCAATAACTTAGGTAATTTTTATCAATAATTTAAATGTTATAATCTTGTAAAGAAATTATAAAAAATCAGTAATAAATAAACAATTTGCATAGCAATCATTTAATATTAAATCAGTTTATTAGTAAAATAATTAAAAAACCTACAAAGTGAACATAAAATTATATATATAGGGATAAGTGTATATGAAGAGTAATAATAAATATAATGGTTCTAATGAATATCAAAAAGCAATTGATTTTTTAGAAAAAGGCTGTGATTGTGGTTGTTCTTCAAGAATTCC